CAGGCGCCCTGTCTTTTCTTTTTGATAAGTCTGGCCAGGGGTTTATCAATCTTGTTAATTCTTTTAGAAATAACAAAAGATCTTAAGAGACAACTGCTCTTATTGATTTGGGGCCATGAGCACATGGAAAGATGCAACTGGATGCAGGGTACTTATTTCATCTCGCACTGACACTCACCATGAGCCAAGTAGATGGGTCTGCATGCTAGTTTTTACCATTGTGTTTCTGCAATGCCAGCCTTCTGGGAATCACAGGTACTAGTCATTTCAAGGAAGAAACTCAGGGTAGCTGGCATGGTGGGAGGTGAACAGCATGGAACTACCCACTAATAATTTACAAAAACCAGTTAGCCGCTGAGATTTCTAGCTGGAAGGCTTTTAAGGAGTTTGTTTTTTTTTCTTAATCTCCTGACTGTGGCCTCGTCAGAAGAGGTCGCCTGTGGATCCAGTCGGGGCTTCAGTGTGAGAAATGGAGAGCCACCCTCCCTGGACCAGCAACTGAAGTGATGGTCAGATTATCACCGACTGCCCGCATTCAGATTCCAAGGATGTGGAGTGTCCCAGTGTGTGTCCCCTGGCTCTTTGGGGAAAATTATCAAACCCTTATTAGAACTTTTCTGCTGTTGGAGAGAAGAAAGCAGGGTTTAGTGTTTTGAGCATAGACTCTGAATTTCAGGCCATGTATCAATCAGAGAAAAGTTACTGACAGTGATAATTGGGCCTTTAGGAGACTTCCTAAGATGAAGAGAGACTATGCTAGCTATGCCTCAGACTCTTTGAGCTCAGAAAATGAGTTCAAATAAGAAGAGTTCTGGGAATGCCCTTAGGACAATGATTAATTTATTTATTTCAAAGAGCTTACAGACCATTATATACTCCCTCCCTCCGTTCATTTCCTTCCTTCTTTCATTCAACATTTGACTATCTATTATAGCTCAGGTAACAGAATAATTATTTTCTACTTAATAAGGCTTACTAAAAGATTATGCTAGATAATAGGTGCCTCCAAGGCATTTTAAATAGACTTTTATTTTGCTTTTATTTTATTTTACTTACACATACGGTTTCAAGCACCTACCGTGAAGTGTGGTGCATTTGCATTTTCCTCTCACACTGGTTCAGCGATACAGAGCGTGGTCCCTCTGTACCATACTGGCCCCTGCATCGGGTGGGGTCACATGATATGTTCATAGTGCATAGGATAGGGGGACCTAGTTCTGCTAATTTCAAATGAAATAATTAATTAGATCAGTTTGCTATGGAAATCACTTTTCAAGCAACCCAGCTAAGTAGCTTGCCTGGAATTTGCCTGGTGTGTCTTGAAAGTCTAACATATTGTTAGTGAGATTGTCACAGGAGGACATCCAGGCCATGTGTAGGACTTATTTGCAGGTCGGAGCTAATAACACGCAATATCCTCGTCAGAGTTAAGCCTGGCCTTCATCAAATAAAGATTTCATTATAGCTTTTATTTGAAGTGGAAATTTTACTGTCAGGCTATATAAATAAATACAGCAGATATATTCCAAGGATTGTGGTGTTTAAATCCTGTGAACCTCAGTAGTCCCTGGGCTCCACTGAGTTTCTCTGAGGCACATGTGAAGTCATTAATGTTGGTCTTCCTTTTCCTGTTTCTCCTTTTTTTTTTTTTTTAGGTCTGTGATGGGGTCAAATAAGGAACCAGATCTTGTGCATCTCGAGGCCAGAACTGTAGATGGTCGTAAGTAATTCGTCTTCTCCATGATGTTCATAGTAATACTAGTTTTCCCAATCTGCCATGAGCCGAGTCTGTGTCTAGGGAAACATAGCAGCAATAGTTCAAGTCCTTAGTAATCCAGAGTTGTCTTAACAATTTCCAACATCTCTCATCCAGCCAAGGTGTTTTCCTTTCCAGGTAATGAGGAAATGCCCCCGTTTCTTATTTCTGAAGTGTTTTTGTAGTTATTGTTATGATTATGTTTTTGCCGCTGCTTTGTTTTGATTTGTTTTTCCGGTTTCCTTATTTTAACAGATATAGTTTCAAAAAAACCATAGAATAATATCAGAACCAGAGAAGGCATCCATTTCTTAGGAGAGTCTTTCTTGAACTCCCATTCTAAACAAATTTCATATTTTATTTGCTTTCATTCTGTGGTTATACTGGATGTTATCTTTGGGGGAAGCCAAGAGAAGGGTACAGGGCAACTCTCTATACTAGTTTTTGCAACTTTTATGTGAGCCTAAAATTATTTCAAAATAAAAAGCTAAAAAAGTGGAAATGGATGTTTACGTCTGAACCATCCATAGTGATTAATTACAATGAATTGGCCTCTGGGTTCTAGGATAGGAGGGGCCGTGTGCATCTTCAGTCAATATCACGTCTCCAGCACATGCCACATTGTCAACATGTAGATGGGGCTTAGTAAATATTAGTTGAGTGAGTGAATACATAGTTGACCAATTGTCAGGGTGACCAAGTCACTTACTAAGTTGGAAAATTTTAGGGCATTGCACCTCAAATCTGAACATAATATGGCCCAACGAGGGATCTTGTTAAAATGTGGATTCTGATTCAACAGGGGCTCAAGAGTCTGCATTCCTAATAAGTTCCCAGACGAAGCCCAGGATGCTGGTCAGCAGAACACATTTAAAGTAACGAAGTCCTACAATGAAAAACTAATGAAAGAGCTTTAGGGTCTGTCTCCCATGACTACACCTCTTGTTTAGCAAGCTCCGGATGGAATTGGTAACATCCCAGATTGCTTTCATTTTCAAGCTTTTGGGGATAATACCACTTCTGGCTTGTGGCATCTAATGCACATAACCCCATATCCTGAAAACAATAAGGCCGTCACTTTCCCTGATGTGCACGTTTTCTTTCACCCAACATTATTCCTATGCTCCCTGCAGCCATGAAGGTTGATAATGCCAAACTGTCATCTCGGGCTCAGCTTTCACATGGCATGAAATAGATCAGTTCTAATTTTATTTATTTTATTTTACTTTTTTGCAAAGGCAGCATCTTCAGAAACTACCCAAGAGTGAAAATTCAATAAAGGGATTTAATTTGAAAAGTTATCCCTGTCAAAACAAAACAGAAAAAAAAAAATTACCTACCAATTGAAATAAAGGATCTAGGCATAATGCCTGACCTGACTGGGTATTAAAAAAAGATTTTTTCAATATCATATCCAGTCCCTCTCTTTATCTTTTTCTCTCTCTCTCTTCCTTCCTCTCCCTCTTCCTTTTTCTCAAGGTACTTGGTAATCAGGACTCCAGGGCAAAGAAACAGAGAGGAAGAGGAGAGAAGGAAAGAGCACAGAGAGATCAGAGTAGTAAGGTATTAGCATATGTAGTGGAGACTGTATTTATTAAACCCAGGTTCCAGGCTGGTCAGTTGCTCCAGGAATTCTAATGTCTGTATGTCACTTCTCTATTTTCTGATTGAGATCCTTCTTGTATTTCTATCCCTTCAGTAGCATTCAGGACAAAATTTAAGTCTGTGGAACCCATTGTTTATACATCTTGTAGAGTATGTGCCAAAATAATATGATATTTTGACTTTGGATAAGTGATTGCTTTCTGATTTTTTTTTTGATTGCTTTCTGATTTTAATGGATTCAGGAATTCTGTTATTTTGACACAGGAACAAGCCCCAATAGCTTATTTGGCTCATCCCCATAGGGTGGTTTACAAAGTTATTCAAAGTTCAGTTTTAGTCTCATTTCACATTTCCCTAGATTACACTTTATAATTGATTTCTACTTCACCTGAAGTCTCCAGAGCTCCATAGCTGAGGGCAGGTAAGCTCTGGAAAGAGCTTTTTTTTTTCCTTGCTCTGCGACAGTCTATAACTACCATAGACATTTCTGCCACTGTGCTCTGGGATCTGGATGTCTTGTAGTTTACACTGTGACAAGGATGTTATTCTTCCTTGCATTACCTCTCTGCCTTGGGAGGCAGGCGGGGGAGAGCAACCTCAATTACCATCAATCACAGGAATTATTATTGGAAAATTTTGAACATGTTTATTGGATGTGGCATTTGTTATTGGCCCCTGCATTTAACTGAGGACAAACTGACAGGTCCTCATCCCAGAGACAAAGATTTTACTGTTTGACTATCGTGTGTGTGTATGAATGTGCATGCACTCAGGCATCCTATGCACCCAGTACATTAAAACTGCTGCCCAGTGCATTAAAACCATAAAAAGGAAACCTATTCTAATGATTCACCTAATATAGGTGCATTTCTGTATATGTATGTAATGTATGTAGTTAGAAAATGTTGACTAAACTGCTGGATTGAAAGCTTTGTGTAAAGCCATATCTCATTTTATTTTGATTCTTTGTACAAACAAAGCTCAGAGACTGACCCATTTGTTGACTTAATACATAACCTTATCTGTGTAAGCATGTCTTCTTAAAGAAGGGCTTTAGCCATAGGGTCTACAGAGTCCTGAGGGCTAATGGATAAGTTTAAGAACCTCACTAACTCCCTGAAATTGTGTACTGCATGTTACGTGTATGTGATTTTGGAGGAAAATAATGTAACTGTGATCAGAATTCTTCACATGGCAATTACATAGGAATGCAGAGTTCTCTATGCACATGTGTAAGTATCATCTTGCAAGAAAACCTGCAGTATCAGGTTTGACCTTTATCACTCCTCCCTCTGACTTCTGAAATGAAAGGCCTGGTCAGTGACATGACTATTTCCATACTGGTGGTGATCCATGCTAACAGGGACAGGGAACAGGGGACAATTACTGGGCTCATTGTCTATTTGCATGAGTAAGTAACCTTGTAACAACTTGCACAAGGACTAATCTCTTTCACTGGGGAGAAACAACCTTGGCCCTTTAATCAACTGTGAAAATGATTGTCCAAAAACTCTTGCTGAAATGAACCACAGACTAGCATTTTACAAGCTGAAATAAAAATCAGAGGAGAGTCACAACTTTATATAACCACCTTCCCACAAATTCTGGTCTTGGGTGAGAACTGGACATCCCATTCTACTTCCCATTTTCCAGTGCTCCAATTGACTTGCATATTGAGTGGCTTGCCTAGCAACATCTGAATAGGGGGAGCGTGGGTACAATGCTGAGGGGCTGGGATGGAGACCTCAGTTCTCATCAGGCCTCAGTAGGTGACCTATGGAGTGCTTTCAGTTCTTCCTATAGAAATAGATTACTTTTATAACAACAAGAGTAGCAACAATGACAATAAAAAGGATAAGCCATACTCAGGTGCATCAAGTGAAAAGTAAAATCCACTTCTTGACCTTCATTCCCATTCCCCAGAGGTACTATGTTTTTTGTTTTTTTTTTATATTTCTTCTGCATTTTTACAGAAATTGTTTGGGCTTACACAGGTGAATATGTCTGTGAGTACACATACATACACATTCACAAATGTTCGTGTTGTAAAACCATTATGCCAAATTCACTGTTGGGGAACACAATAGCAAGTTACAGTTTTTCCATATCAATACATGTAAATGTAGCCACTTCGTGACCGATGACTACAAAAAAAAAAAAAAAAACCACAGACAAACCCACTTTGTGCAGTCAGCTGTGCTCTTGTTAGCCCTTCTCTCATTAATAGACCTGTAGGGGTTTGGCTCTTTCATATAGTGCTAATACATCACACACAGACACACACACATTACTGATTTGGTTTGTAAGCATTCGGACTTGTGCAGGCAGTAAGCACTGCTGGGAAGAGAAATTACTGAAGGCAAATTCCGGGTCTGAGAGTGTGCACATTGATATACAATGATACACATTGTATCCTTGTTACATTGTCCTCTGAGATGGTTGTATCATTGCACGCTGTCAGTATGATGATGCTAGGATGCTTGTGTTTGTAAGCCTTCAATAGCCCAAGACGTTGTCAAAGATTTTTTAAACATAACCCATCTGATGAGCAAAGAGCTATATCCTTATTGTTTTCATTCTCATTTATTTAATCGCGAATGAGGTATTTTTATTTATTTTTCTTGGCTATTTGTATTTCCTCATCAGTGCACCTTTAAAAGATAGCAAATCTCTTTGATGTTCCGGAGAAGACGAACACTTTGGCATTTCTATACAAAAAAAAAAAAAAAAAAGTCAAACTGGCCACTCCCACTCCAGTGAAGGTCCCAGCTCTGGCCCACCAACTGGCATTATTTGACCCCACATTTCATAACCTTCATTTACCTTCTTTTCAGTCAGTTTAGGAACAGTTTCTGGGGTGGGACCTGGGAAGAGGCTAGAAGTTTCCAGTTCGGGGAGGCTGCAGGCTCCAGTGGCACCCTCCTAGTCCCCAGCATGCTGAACAAGCACCTCTCCCCTCTTGCCTATGCCCACAGCAGGCATCAGGGACGAGGGTGCACAGGGGCACCTTGCACTTGGCTTTTTCTCCTGGCTGCCTCCTTCTGACCCCATTGTTCATATTGCAAAAGCCGCTTGATTTCAACCCCTAGTGATTTCAACTTGGCCTTTCTGATTTAGTAGCCTTAAAGACAGCCCTGAAAACCAACCAGAAAAGCATGCAACACGGTAACACAGGCCTCCCCACACAGCCGTGAAAACCTGACAGGAACATGCAGGAGCGGGCCCCGCTGGGCAGCTTTCAGAGTGGGCTCTTTGTACGCTTCTGTGCTACTTCCCTTGCATGTTGTGTGCCCAGCAGACCGGGAGGAGGTCTGTGCCCTTACTTCTCATGCTCAGGAAGAGAGGACAGAGTGTGCAGG